TTCTGTACATTTCGCGAATTGTAGTGTGTTATATTAGAGATATTATTTTAAAAGAAGTTTTATCAATTTCACTCATATGTCAAGAGTAAAAATGTGGTTATGCTTACCCAACGTTTTTTAATCCATATCTTTTATTTTATACTATGTTTATTATGAAAACGAGTATAATACTTTGGTCCATGTCTGTAAGTTTTCGTCATATATCGTACATGTGACTATACAGGCAATATAGTAGCATAATTATGATCCCTGGTTATAGTATGTAGTCGTAATGATGATATCCACTAGTAGCTAAAGGTTAAAATATGTTTAACATAATATATGAGAAATTGCTTACTTAATTTTGGGCTACACGAACTCTTACCAGGTTTCGGCTTGATGCAATAGATCTCTCCAAGTGCCTTTTTCAGTCTTATACATCAGGCGCTATTAGTGTCTAAACTTCATAGCTGAACTTGATCCTCAACTTATTAGTTCTATCGGAGACCTGGCCTTTCTTCACGTCTTTTCCATTTAAATAGTGCTTCAAACACAGTTTTTGCTAGAGCACTGTCAGCCATTCCCAGGATTTGAATAAACTAATGATGCCAGTAAGTGTTGATTCGTTGCATAATGTTAATGTCGTGATAAAGCTCGTATACCTCAAGGTTTATTCGCATACAGTAATCGTTGACAACTCGTAGAGAACAAACTTCTTGTGAAGAAATTTTCTTTTGAACTCTGCCAATGCTGTGATAGCGTCCATGTTCTGCATTATACAGAGTGAGTGATTTGAATGGCTATATTATATTTTATTAATTAAAGTGAAATATATTTGGATGAAGAGTAATCACCCATGATTAATATTTTTCGCAAGTGAATAATTTATGCTTTACCTTCTAGTGAAGCTTACGTTGTAGTAATTGAAAGTTTATTTTTTTTGTTAGTATAGATTTTATTTTTTTTATTAATTTTACAATATCAATTAATAAAAAAAATATAATTTATGCTTACATTTTTATCAAATACGATTTAAAAATAAAATATGTATATTTAAATTTTATAATTTTGTTAATACTGGCTTTTTAAAATTAGGTAAATGTGTATTAGTATCCACCGCAAATTTTGTATACAATGTGTACGTTTTTAAAATAAATCTATTCGTCTGTTGTTGAAATATAAGAATAAAACTATACAATTGGTTCTTTCCGCCTAATGGATGCATTGTGTACTTCCAGTAATTTTCTTTTTTGTTTGCGCTAAAAAGTGCATTTACGTTTTTGGTTGCCGTCCATTAGCTAATTTTGAAATCATTCACTATTCTAGTGAAAAGCCGACACCGACTCTAGTTGCATCTTAGACTGTTATAAATACAAATAAAAATGATTAAATTTAATTAAAAAAGTAGACACGTTGAATTAATACCTTAATGCATTTCTTTTAAAAATAATAGTTCATATTTTAAATAGTTTTTGGAATAAAATAATTAACACTCCGCTGCCACCATTTTTGTTAAGTTTTTATTTTTCGTTAGGTTTTTATATTTCGTCAGGTTTTTATTTTTGTTTTAATGTTTTTGGATAAATCATAAATCAGGCCCGAATCAAAGATTACCGCAACTCTTCTATAAATAAACTGCTTTTTCCTTGAAAAAAACAAAAACGATCATTTTATTTTCTGCTAAAGTAATATAGAATTATAAAACAGATATATAACAGACTACAGCTACCCACGTATAAAAAATTATTCATATTTATAACTAATTAAAAAAAAATATGTAGACAAAACGGAGTTGTATGTTAACCTGTGTTCAGACAAGACATTTATTTTCTATTATTTATATTACGAGTAGTAGTAAAAAGTTATGCTCTTCTTTTTTGATTCAAAGTACATATACATCATTGGAAGATAACTCGTACCATAACCTCTTAGCAATTATTTGAATATCAAAGTTTGCGGGGTTCAAGTTTTGGAAAAAATCACATGTTTAACTGTAACACATCACTCAATACGTCGTGAGACCAACCGGCTGCAGTCCACTCAGATGATGATCGTTTTGATTCCGAAGTGAAGTTATGGATCCATACTACGCAGGGAATATTCCTTTATACCATTCCATAAATCTATCAGTGACATATTCTGTGTTCCTGTAAATTGTATTAGGTAGCGTTATGCTTTTGATTTTGTTAAATATCTCTATCTCCATAGGTACATTTTTCTCCCAACTCCCTAGTGTTATTCCGTTGATATTCTTAATTATCATTATAGTTTTAAATTATGTTTGGATGAAGCTCGTGGTTATATACGATTGCGAATCGTTGGTTTTGTGGAGCTGTTGTAGCGAATTTTTTTGAATACAATAACGTGTCTGAAATATATTTATCAATATCCACTACAAGGTTTTTTTAGTAGTTTTTCTTGAAAACTGTTTCCCAATGTTTCAATCACATTCAATTTTGAGTTTTTAACAATTTTTTCACATACGGCTTTTAATGGGAATAATTTTTATGTAGAAGCTCATAAATTTAACTGCGGTTAAAGAATTTTTGTCGTTTATATGTAGTGACCCACTCTATTGCAATCAATTGCCAGAAAATGTTTGGGTTTTATTCATATTTGTATCAGTTCTTTTTACAATCTACAAATGAGAATCAGATAATGAATTTCAAGATTATGCAATGGATGGGTCAAAACTTTCGGATCAACTTTATTCGATCCCAATAATGTTACTACTTCTTTTAATAATACATTGTCAGCTCTGAACATAACATATACAATTTTTTAAATGTGATCGTTAAATTGTATATTTTTAATGACATATCTTTGAATTTTATACGAGCACCTTTTCAGTTTTATATTATAAATCTTGTTCTATATATCATGTATATTGTGCTGTCTTCTCTTATATTTTATATAAAAGTATTTAAAAATATTTCAATAGAAACAAAATGGTTAAATACTTACATTTTCATATATTTTTCATTGCTAAACACACTTGGGTTTGGTATTAAGTGATTAGTGGAAGATGTCTGGTGTTGTTTTTCTTCTTATCACATCATTAGCTGAAGATTTATACAAACCGCTCAAGCAGATAGCTCAAGCCATACACAGCAATTACCAATGGGTTGTTCAAGACGTTACCACTTAATGATTTTACACACTTGGTACAATTACGAAGTATGAAATTCTTTTGTGATAATTTTACTGATTTTCGAACTTTCTTGGAAAGGAAAACTGTTTGAGCACTAAGTATGGTGTTGAGACTTCCCACTGGATGCACTGGAAGATACTTCTTTACTTCTGCTTTCTGCACGTCAGATACTTTGGAATTTAAGTTACATGGTTCTGGAGAAGTTACATTTTTGTTAGAAGGATTCACTGTATATATCGGCAAAATTGTTTCTTTTTGTATTGGTCCTCTTAAACCTGCATTAAGTATTTGCAGTAGCATAAAGCATTTCTCTTTTGACAGGCGCCGAGGAAAATATTTAGGATGCATATTCGCATCCCGATACCAGCGACGGCGCTTCATTTTAGAAACTCAAAAGGTAAAGCACTAAAACAATTATAGCCGAAATGATGAAAAGTTTAGGATGTTCCGCCAAGAAAAAAATTTCTAAGAGTAATTTTTGAAACAAATATGTATTATAAAAATTTAAAACTAAATGAAGTATTCAATCGAGTTTGTCAGAAAATTTGAGTTATTCCTGATGACTTTGTTAAAAATAAAATTAATTGATTGAATAAAAAAATCGAATGGCACCTTTGTCGGATTAGAGTGTTTCTCCAAGTCCGATTTCTTTAATAAAAGATAGTATAGCGTTTATCTTTCTTAGTCCTGAATCCTTATGTTCCATAAAATACCCTCTTAGGTGTTTTTTCCGCTTGCGCATCAGTGGCAGGCACTTCTCTAGCACATGGTATGCGGTTTCTCTCGCTTCTCTACAGTATCTGCAGTCTGAGTTGGATTGGATTCCTACCTTTGTTAGGTGAATATGCAATCTGCAGTGACCGTATAATATTCCCGTAACAATTCTTATGTTATTCTTTGTTTGTTCTTTGCAATCCTTAAAGCGTTTAGGAAATAGAGTTCTCTTTCCTTTTCCTCTGCGTTGTTCATAAGAAAGGATAGAGTTCCTTTGCTTAGACCACAGATAGGATCTGGGCCTATCATTATTGAAGCTACGCTTCTTCTTGCGAGTTTGTCTGCTATTTCATTATCTTAGATGCCAGCATGAAACCTGATTGTTTCAGTCAAGTATGTTCAGCTTGTTAATGCACTCCCATACCAGTTTGGATGTTACCTGGTAGGATATGAGTTGCAATTCTACGAATCAGGTAGTTGCGTTCGAGGTTGAAACTGGCTTGAAAGATCGTTACATGTTTACAATTAATAATAAGGTTCGCAATTAATAATAAGGTTCTCTATCTGTAAGTGTAAACACTTAGTTATTTGAATGATGGTAAATATTAAATAATAGTATTGAGTCGCATCACTATCTTATTGTTTAATTTATATTAAATATGTTATGAACATGTTATATATAAAAAAATGTTAAATATTATATTAATTTTATGTTTGCAAAAAATTTACATTTTGTAATTATTTTACACAATATTGAGACCTTATTATTTTAAGTTAAAAATTTATTCATGGCTCGCTGTCTCCGGTGTCAAATTTGATTATACAAAGTTAATCAAGTTAACAAATCAATCAAGCACGAATTTATATCGAAATGCACAGCCATTCAAACAAAAGCAGAATACATAGGCGAAAAAGTATCTATGGCTGAGTGTATATGGTATATCCGAATATCTAAACACAATGTAACAACCCCACAGTAAAAAACACACATATAATGCATACGCAAACAATATCAGCTTTTCAATTAAATATTTAATTTTTGGTTACCCTAAAAAGTTTTATAATATTTTTAATTACAAAATTCAACCCACACATACACATACACTCACTTCACTTGCGTTTTAAAATTATCTGCAGGATACGCCGCATATGCCGACAACACCCCGCTCCTTGCGGTTTGCGGTTGCGATTTATGTGGTAATATTTAAAATAAACACAAATGCGCGCAACACGCATTTAAGGACATGTTAAGGACACTTTTTGTTATTAGTTGAATTTTGTTGCTTTTGCTGCTTTTGTGTTTCTGTATTTCTGTTTGCAGTTGTTAAATATTTACTGAAATGTTTAAATAAATTCCCAACTTGTTGTTTTTATTTACGCTCCACGCTTAATATTTATCTATAGTGTTGACAGTGTTTTGTATCTCATTTTCATGTCAAAAATCGTTAGCTTTTAATTATGTGTGCTGTGTCATGGGTTTTGTTTACTATTGAAATGGGCTTCACAGTAGAAATCCTGTTCATCGAGACATGAATATATGAAGCTATGAAGTCTATTAATGAGTGGTAAGAAATGTTCAAGG